CCAAGCGATTCTTCTAATAGTCCAAATGGTAATTCGGTTTTAAATAGCATTTCAGATACCACAATTCTGTTGATGCAGAACAGTGATAGATTTGGGTGGTAAGGAGGAAATGCCTGTTTTTAATATTGTTTGCACTCATTTTTCATTTTAAAGAATTAGTCCTCATTGGAGTTCTGCAGGTTAAGCATTTTATTTAAACCTTTTGATTAAACTAGAACCTGAATCAAAATGAGTTCTTTGCTCAATCCTCCTGTGTGGAAATTGGTATTTCTATTTATTACTTGATGATGAAATATTAACTTTTTTTCTTTAAATAAATGCCTCCTCTTAATGGTTCTCATTTTCAGGGATCAGATTAAGTTATGGGATGCAATTGAAATGGCCGTTGGCTTTCTGCTATTTGAAACAATGGTATGTTCTCTATTATTACATTCTATCATTCAGTGGGCGTGCAGGGCATGTGAACGGTGTCTAAAGTGAAGTAAATACTGTATACCCCAGAGACCTTTCTGTATGTTAATATCAGCTGTCGTGGGACAATGTTGAAAAATAAGAGATTCAAGGTGGGACAAGTGGCCACAGTTTCTCGGAATCAATGGGTGTTCTAAAGGCTATAGGGAAGTGGCCACCTCTCATCTCAATGATCAGTGACAACATGGAGAAGGAGAAAAAAAAATGAGAGGCAAATGATGGTAGCAGAGGTAGCGGACAAGTGAGGTGGAAGAATGGGACAGATAACTCGACAGGAATGTTCCAACAAAGCCGAAAGCCAGGACGAGATATATAATGCAATTGGATGGCAGTTTGAAAGAAAACTAGCTCAAGGCAAGGCTAAAGAGAAGGCAATTCTGTTTCAGTCAAGGGAGGAATTCTCTGGAGAAACAAAATAGACTAGAAGGGAAAGAGGAGGAAAAATGCTTTCAATTATCCATGTTATCTTTCTCTACCAATCATTACAGATGATGAATAGGTGCAATAAAAGCCAATATTCAATTTTTCCAATTTACATGGAAAGAGGGCCATAATATATTGTTAAGGGGAAGAAACAGCAGGCTACCAAACAGTGTATATAATATGATCTCACTTTTTGCAATATATTTGTATGCATAGAAACATTCTGAATGGATTTATACAGAAATGTTAACAGTAGGGCTACAAGTGATTTTTATTATTTTTCTCATCTGTATTTTCCACAATTAACATGTATTATGAATGTAATAAGAAAAAGTCATTATTTTGTAAAGTTCCTTCTGAATCATTTAGACACAACCAATGTATGCAGAGTATCCACTATGAGCTGGGCACAATAATTAGTGCTTTTCTGAGCAGTCAGCACATGATTATGCTGATAAACAGTCCACTTGTCCTGTGCTGTTTTACAGAACTTTTGACTCCTAAGAGGTGAAGAGGACTTTAGAGCTTATTTAATGATCACGCTTTAAAAATTGTGTTGAAATACACACGAATAACATTTACCATCTTAACCATTTTTGAGTGTCCAGTTGAGTGGGATTCAGTACGTTCACACTGTTGTGCAATCATCACCAACATCCATCTCCAGAACTCTTTTCATCTTTTAAAGCTGAAACTCTGCACCCCTTTAACACTAACTCCCCATCTGCCCTCCCCCTAGCCCCTGGCAGCCACTACTCTACTTTCCATGTCTATGAATTTGACAACTCTAGGTACCTCACATCCGTAGAATCATACAGTATTTATTTTGTTGTGACTGGCTTATTTCACTTAGCATGTTTTCAAGATTCATTCATGTTGTGGCATATGTCAACATTTCCTTCCTTTTAAAGGATGAGTAGTATTCCATTCTACATATAGAACACATTTCGTTTATTCATTCATCTGTCAATGGAAACTTGGGTTGCTTCCAGCTTTTGGCTATTGTGGAGAATGCTGCTACAACTATGAGTGTACAGATGTCTCTCTGAAACTTTGCTTTCCATTTTTGGGGGTATACACTAATGATTAGATTTTAATGCAGTCTCAGGAATAAAAGCAGGGAATCTGCCAGTAGTATTCCTGAGAAGTGAGCATGAGTCTCTGTTGGAATATCTCCCAGGAAAAGAGCTCACCAGCTCATGAGCAGTAACATAATACAGTGGTTAGAGACCACAGGCCTTGGAGTCAGACAGAGCTGGGTGCAAATTCTTGTTCCACTCCTGACTATGGCATAGCCTTGGGAAAATCAACAATCTCCTTAGTCTCAGCTTCTTCTATAAAGTAGAGATCTATCCTACTGGATGACTATAAAGATAAGCGGCATCACATACTTGATGGACTTAATACAAAGAAAATGCCCAGTAGAGACAATATACAATCAAATAACTCCTTTTCTTAAAAAAGGTCTTATGATAGTCTGAAAGCTGCCTAGTTACAATGTCTGCATTGGTTCAATTTCCACCCACTTAGAAAAACAGAGACCCCATCAATTCCATCTTCTACAGGATGATGCTTCAGGCGTTTTAAGAAATTTCCACTGGAAACTGGTCTTTGGGAGCAGAAAGGCCATTTTATTTTGCCTTTGTTTATAGATTTATGTACAAGATACTGATTCTACATTTAGAGACCTGAAGTATCTGATTGGGTGACTCTTCAATTCTTATTTCTCCAGAGGTAGAAAGCTAAATTTTGTTTTCCCAGATAACTTTTCCTGTAATGTAATTAATATAAATGTCATGTCTTATAACAAGGATATCAATATAGAAAAACACAAGTTTGCCTAGGAAGTCTGTACACCATGTTCTAATTATGTTTTGAAAAATTCTTCTCAAAAATCCCCCTTTGAACTAATGTCCTCTTGAAAGGGAACTTATTTTTTAAGGCATATTATTATTTTTATTATCTGTATCTATATACATCTAACACGTTAAATGATTCCAGAAAATAGTTCCCCATTTAAGAAAGAGTTAATATATATACCTTAAAATTAAAATATTTAGAGCACATAATTTTTACCACAAAATATCTTTTTTTGAGGGGGAGGGTGGAAATGACAACTCCATTAGCATAGTTTCTCATTAGACAACTGGGAATGGCTTTCTTCAAGCCAAATGTGGCAGGTGTCACTATGGTAAGAAACATTTAATCTGTTGATGCCAAATATTTAGCAGAAACCCCCCCCCCCAAAAAAAAAACAAAAAAAACAACCAAATTCAGTTCCAGATGCCAATATTGGGCCTACATGACATCATTCATCCAGATGCGTGGAAAATCTGGATTTTTAAGAATTGAATTTTTGTGGTCAGCATTATGAAGACTCAGGTTCCGGGTTAAGTAAGGCATTTGTGAAGCAAAGCCACAGTCGACGAGGATACATTTTGATTATAGAGAAATAAATTGAACGGAACACAGCATACAATTTCAGGGCCGCGAATCACAGCTTACATAAAAAATACTATGTAAAATACAAACAGGACATTTCAAAGCTGCCTTTTTAAAGCTCTTAATGAACCAACTTGAGGACATTTGTGCTTTTGGAAAAGCAATTATCCAATACAGAGCCACCATCTCCAGTTCTCCCCCTCTCATTGAACTTGGACACTAAACGCCAAATGTAGAAAATTAAATTATGTTTTTATGTTTTAATGCTTTATAGGTAACTATGCAACTTCAGATTCACTTGAACATTTGAAGGTATGGGAAAATAAGCAAATAACTGAAAGAATTTTATAGGAGGTACTGAATAGCACACTTTAATCCCAGGTGCCATGTGCAGGTCAGTTTAAGAAGAAACTGCAGAGGTGGGAAACTCAAGAGTTAACCAACCTTCCCCCTCCCCTTTTGGCTCCCCCTCTCCTCCCAGCTGCCTTCTCTGCTGATGCTGTACTTTCTGTGACCCTGCTTCAGTGTGAGTAAGGCTTCAGATACAATGCAGTTTAACCTGTGCTGTCGACATAGCAATAAACCAAAGCCCTTTATAGAGGGAGCAAATGGACCCAGGAAGGCAAATCTATCCCATTCATAAGCACCTGGCCATATTACAAACAGACACGGATAGTTATAAATTAGGCATGTGGAGATTCCACACCCAGGCATGTGCACAAAATTGCTCCAAGAATGTTTTCAAACACCATGCTAAGAACCTTACAGAGAAAATACTTTCCTTATGTTAATTGCGATAAAATATGGTCATGTTCTAATTAGGAAATCAGAGAGCAGGTGATTTCAAAATGTGACTCTAATTCTATTTCACAAACCTCTAAATACATCTACCTATACTAACTTCAAACTTAAAAACTCTTTCAATGTTGCTCAATGTACAGCAGCCATTCCAAAACTTTTCCAAAAGATTTCTTCTCCTTGACCTAGGCTAGCACAAAACACAACTGTCTATGGGCAGACAAGCTCTAGATGTCCAGCTATTCTTCTTCTCTCATCACCTGCTTCAGATATGACTCACACACACCCCTTGCCACCCACCATACTTTGCTTCCCAGTGGCCAGCAGTAATCACTAACAAACATGTCTTATTTCTGGACCAACACCAGTAACTTAATAGGGCTCATACACCCTTTCCCCCTTCTTTCATTTAGAAAGCTTGCCAGGTTCCTGGGGACCCTCTAATGAATAAAGAGGAGTGGCTGGTCCCTTCACACCCAGCATGCACTCTGATGTCACTGGCAACCAGACATTACTTTCAAGTTCTGTAGGGGCCTGCTTCAGTCTGCTTGCATTTAGAGGGCCATGAATTCCTAAAAGAGGGAACACACGCTGGCTAACACAGGGAAACCTTTTCTGCTATAGCTAAAACAGTTCTGACCTGGAAGTCCTCTTCTTCTACCCACTCAATACAAGAAGGAAAAATTGCAGGCAAAGTTTTCTGTGATTTCTGAGAACACATGGAAATGTGGCTGGTGGGATCAGGAGGGGAGGGAGGACTGGACAGGGTCTGGGAAATGCGGCCTTTTGTGCCAAAAGACAAGTTAAAATGCACCTGATGAATAATACAAGCTGCACCACATACAGAAAAGATGAGAGCGGCCCACCTGTGTCTGTTGAGGGATATTTACAAAGCTTGGATCCCGTGGTCCAACACTGACGAATCGGTTTGCGGGGGAGGTGCTGGGTGTCGAGTAGGCTGTGAAGGGAAGGGACACATGCGTTCAGGAAGCGGCACGAGATTGCACACACAAACAACACCAAAACACACAGTCTCTGAGCCGACGCAGCTGATTAACAAGGAAATGTGCAAACACTGTAGCTAGCAAAGGGGTCTGGCTAGCAAGGGCGTTTTAGACAGTCAAAAAAGGGGGAAGGGGGATTTGGCTTCCAAAGACCGTTGGGATAAAATGATGTCGAACTGATTCTCAGACGAGCTATTTTCTCCTTCTACCATACAAATTAGAACATGCAGGGCATTTGCAAAGTATACTTTCTGAGTTAAACATGAGCTCTGGGGTCAGAAAGAGATATCCTAGTCTTTAGAGCAGAGGGAAAAAGAAATCAGGTAGGAAGAGGAGGAAAGCAGTTCATTTTACAAGCTTGCTTTTCACACCGTTACACTCCTAAAAAATCATGAAATGGTCCTGTGCCTCTACATCTAGAGATGGAAGAGGAATCTTTATAGAAGGAACTAATGGGTTCTCCAGGAAGGACGTAGACAGGCCCAGCAGTGTCTAGATTCTTTATGATGCACAATATATGCTTTTAATATTAACTTTTGTAGTCTTCCCATCCTAGAACCTTTCTGTTCGGGCATAAACAATCAAGACCCTTTGTCAACTAAGGTATCACCCTGGAACCTCAGGTACCACATTTCAGTTCACTATCCTTTCTCGGTACATGGAAATTTGGTTGTTGGTTTTCACGTTTGTACTTAAGAGCTTCTTTCTACTGTAGTGGAAAAAAAAATTCAGTGGCTTTGGTGTTTCATTGGCTCATAAATTCAAAGATACATTTTGTTTTTTGGTGTCCTGCAATTCACTTCTTTATAACAAACTCCAAGGATTTGTTCACATTCTTCCTTTGTGCTAGAATCTTTAGACTATTACTTAAAATAATTTCAAATTTCTTAACAATAATTGTAAAAGGCCTAAGGTTTTTAAACTAACTGTAGACACACACCATCTAAGAAGCAATCTGGATATGCAACTTAGGAAAACAGAGATAACTGAAGGCATGATATCAAATTCCTGCCAGATTTTTTTTTTCCTTATTGACATCATCTGCTCCTTTGACTTTCTGCTTTACAGAAAATTGCTCATACTTCTTGTTTCTCTCGTTAAACAAATCTAGGGATAAAATTTCCACCATCTGGCCCAGGTCCTGTTGGTTGTTTTTGATAAGAGCTAAGCCACCCAAACAGATCTGCAATGGTTACGTGGATGTGGACACGGCTGTGTTAAAATGGCACTGAGCAGAGGCTGAGGGTGAGGGTCCCTGATGTCTCTTAAATAAGAAACTTTTTGTGGTCATAGTATTTGTTTTAGGAGAATCTCCTCAGTAATGACTTTATATAAAATGATCTCTAAATGTCTGATGTGTTGTACTGTCTAGCAAAGTGAATCTACTGATTTTGTCTCTAGCCCATGCTATGCCAGTCTAATTTGAACAGATTTGAGAAATACCACTGTATTTAGCCATTCTGCATGTACCTCTCACTTACTGGTATGGGGGTAATTCAATTTTTTTAAAAGCTCGGTAAAATAATTTATATTATGTGTTCCATTTGCTCCATGGCTTTACTTTGATATGCTTTGAGAAACAGCAACATAAAGTTATATACTGAAAATGACAGACTATAATCATCTGAGTGTGCTCCCCTGCTCTTAGAGCACAAAGAGGATGTGGGAGGGACGAGGAGGAAGCTAGGAGGTAAAACAACCTGTTGAACCTGTTAGTGGTTAGGAAGAAAAGTCTTCTTTCACACATGAATAGGTGGGTAGGCTGAGAAGGAACAAAAAGGAATAAAGGTATATGAAGGTATGAAGGCCGAGTGATTGATGACAGACGCTGAAACACAAGTCTGTGTTTCATGGCCCTAACAGAACAGTGTGCACCCACCTGCTGCTCATCATAGACACGTAGCAGGACTTCCTACGACATTCTTACCACACTGGGGACATCCAAAACAAGCATGCTAACAGATCCCAACACAGAAACTGTTCTGGGGGTTGCGGGGGGAGAAATTTGATTGTGAAGATAGCTTGACCATAGCAAGCTTACTAAATCTGGCAAGGTATTTATATTATATCCCATCATCTATTTTTGCTTAACCTCAATTTCTCCATTTGAAAGAAGCTTCAGCATACAAATACTTTAGTTACCCAAAATTTCTATGAGGCCAACAATCAGATATTTTCCCTTCTTCCATCATGGGACAAAATTTCAGTCTTAGTTTCAGAACATCCCAGAAGGCCTTTCATGCTCTCAAGGCCTACCAAAACTTCTCCAAATTTTATTCTAGTTTTTTAAAAAGAGAACAATGGTGAGAGAGGTACGAGTGTATTTGCATTAAAATGTGTGTGTGTGTGTGTGTGTGTGTATGTGTGTGTGTGCACGTGTATAACAACTACAAAAGTCTAGTAGTCTTTGAGTACCCAAGTCAAAGAATGGGACAAATGGTGCCCAGGGAAATTTATTCCATAGAAAGCTATCTTCTGGGAAAAGGACACAGGGAAAACAAGGGAAGGAAGAAAGAAATTCTGACTCATCTTCCATTATTCTAGCTAGCAGGGTGGTCACTTACAACAGGATGTAGTCCCAAAAATGATATGACATAAGTTGAATTTGATTTTCCTAAAGACACAATTGAGTAAGGAAATTACGCTGTTGAACAAAACCTTAACTGAAACTTTTTGTTAAAACAACCGCATTTACCATAGTGAATCAATTACACACACACCATTAAGAGCTTTCAACATGAATATAAAATCAAGTAAAGGGGCAACAGGGTAATTAATTACATACAGCTGTGTATACTATGATATTGTATCATATTCATATCTTTCTTAATTACAATTCTTGCCTTATTTACAACAGCAATAATCAAAGCTATAGGCAGACCTATGAAAAATCATAAAATCAGAATACAGCTTTCTGGGGAGATTATCGTAGGACATTTTTGAGAATTCTGGAGGGGAGGTTCAGATGTACTTGATGATGTATTGATAAAGTCAACAGGGAAATCAATTTGGCTATATAATCTCATTATAAGAATCTTCATGACAAACATGACTATTAGAAATCAAATCATTGATTATATGGCTGCCTCTGAAATGGAAACTGCTTTTTTTTTTTAAGCAGCCATTTTACCTATATTAGCAATAGTGCTATGAACCATTTTCTTAACATTACTGAAGAATGCTCCTATAAGAAGCTTCTCACATGCACTAATCTGACTATATTTTCTCTCTCTCTAATGTATTTCTTCGCATTTTCCAAGAGCCACAGTTTGGCCTGAACCACATTAAGTTTCAAAATCCCAAACCAGAATTTGATCCCGTATCCAGAAAATTACATTTTTTCTGCGTTACCCCCTTATCATAGATATTGTTAATTCTATAATCCTTCACTTAGACAGTATCTGTCCCACGTCTCTAAGATCAGCTGGGAAATGACTCAACAGTTCTCTCTTTATGAACAACAGTTCGACAGGGGCTCTCAGGATGCTAGGAATTACCTCTAGGGGCACTGTGGGGTACATGGACATGAGGGAGTTGGGTGGAGAGGGGGACAGTAGGGGAGATCACCCACCAGCACTGCTTTTTTTTTTTTTAACAGAGTTGTTGGGGAGCAGTCCCACCATGTTGCTCAGCCTGGTCTCAAACTTCTGGGCTCAGGCAATCCTCCTGCCTTGGCCTCCCAAGATGCTGGGACCAAGTACTGCTCTTTATCACTGCAGATGTCCTTGAGAGGACTGAACTGCCTCTATGTCCTCAGAAATGAATGTGGCTTACTGCCTGCTAGCCAAACAAATTCCAGTTTTGGCTGTTCCTGTGATAGGTTTCCTTTTTTCTTTTTCCACATGGGGAGGTGTAAGAGATATAGCTGCAAAAAGGAACCATGGCATTTGTAGATGAATTCATTGTGAGTCAGAAACAGCCTTCACTCAACAATTATACCTGAACATGGTGTTGAGAACATGGTCAAACTGGTTTGAATGGAGAGGCTTTTGTCTTGTCTTTGGAAAAAATATGACTGAAGAAGAAGATATTAAGAATTAAAATATTTATGCCAATGTCAACTGATGTTTATTTTTTTGAGATGGAGTCTGGCTCTGTCACCCAGGCTGAAGTGCAGTGGCATGAACACAGCTTACTGAAGCCCTGACCTCTTGAACTGAGATGATTCTCATACCTCAACTTCCTGAGTAGCGGGGACTACAGGCATGATGTGCCATCATGCCCTTCTAATTTTTAAAATTATTCATAGAGACGAGGTCTCCCTATGTTGGCCAGACTGGTCTCAAACTCCTGGGCTTAAGTGATCCTCCCACCTTGGCCTCCCAAAGGGCTGGGATTATAGATGTGAGCCACTACTCTCAGTCAGTTAATATTTCTTTAAGATGAAAATATTAATAAAACCCCCAAATCTGACTAACTAGAAAATGTGAGTTCAGATTGGTTGGCTTTGAAAGCCCGCAGTTAGTTTCGAGGTTTAGTTCAAATTTAGCAATCACTAAAATACATATAATCACAGAAAGGCAGGAAAGGGAGAAAATTTAGCCAGATTTCTTCTGTGCAAAGGGTAAACCTGAAAGAAGAGCTGCTCTTTGAACGAACACCCCTCTATATTCCCACAGGGTGCCCAGAAGGAGGCTGAGAGGCCAGTTTCACCTGGGGCTGACCTACTTGAGTGACAGCCAGCTCCTCTGGCCCCAGCTAGGAGGAAATGTGAGGCATCTTGGCAGAAAAGATACAGTAGGAGACTGATGAGCTCTGAGCTTCTGAGTTTACTTCCAGATGCAGGAAGGGATGAGGTACCCTAAACCTTGGCAGCCTGGCCTACAAACCAACATGAAGTTTGAAGAGAAATTCGTCTTCTGTTTAATCAAAGATTCCAAATACACAGAAGTAGCAAACATTCACCCCTTTTCATTCCCTTAAACTCCATCCACTAAGTCTAGCTTCTGCAGAG